CAGCCTCTAAAGAGCTTATCTCATGTCTCACAGTTTAATTGGATTGTTTTCTGAGACAGCCTTTTCTTTTCAATTTCATAAAGACCATAAATGCTCATATTATTGTTCTTTTGTTCTCTTTCCTCAGAACTTCGTTTGATTTAATTTTTTGTCCTAGTGGCCTAAAATGACTCTGTTCTCCCTTCTAACCCAAAATTCAGATGAACCGCAACTGTGGAACCATTGACATCCTTCAGTCTATAATTGCATTGATAAGATAAGTAGAAGCTTAATAAGGAAAGCAAGGAGTGAATCATTTATAATATTTGCAAGTGATCAAAATCATAAAAGAACAAAATAGATTTCATTCTACAAATTAGTGATTCTTTAATTATGCACTCAGAGCTAGCCCAGTTATCAAAAACATCAAGTACAAAATGACAAAAGGCTTTTTTTCATCATATAAAATTCCCAGATACAAGTGTGTTGGCCACAGATGGCCCTCAGCTAACAAAATAAGCTACTCAATAAAATTTAGAGTAAAGCAAATTTATATAACAATAAATACTTTTTTTGTTATTAAAAACTAAAACAGGGCCTGGGGATGTAGCTCAATGGTAAAGCACTTGTCTGATATGTGTGAGGTGAGGCTCATGGTTCAATCCTCAGCATTGCAGATAAAAATAAAAAAAAAAGAACAGAACACTAAAATAGGGATTATATGGGAAGAATGTCATCCATAATACATCACAATCACTGAAGTCTAACATAGTTATTAAGCACTAGAGTAATAAAAAATTTTTAATTTGGGCTTAAAATATAATTATAGCACAAATGTTTTAAAAAAACAAAAACAAAAGATACCTGCAATTCGATGTTTCCTGCAGCACTCTTCACAACAGCAAAGATGTGGAATCAACCTAGGTGTCCATCAACAGATAAATGAATAAAGAAAATGTAGCATATATAAATAATGGAATGGGTTTCAGCCATAAGAATAAAATCCTATCATTTGCAGCAAAAAATGAATGGAACAGGAGAATAGTAAAGTGAAATAAGGCAGTCCAAGAAAGATATCCTACATTTTCTCTCTCATTTGTGGAAGCTTTTTAAAAAAATGCTGATCTGAATGTGAAACAGTGGTCACTAGAGTCTGAAAGAGGTAGAGGTAAGGGAAACAGAGGCAGAATGAACAAAAGGTGTCAAAACTCAGAGAGAAGGGAAAACCTTTTTAAGGATTCTTTTACCATGAATAACGTGTATCATAAAGAGAGATCCAGGTAGTACACAACAGCAACCTCTAGATGCAGATATAGCTATAAATGATTCATACCCACATACCCACATACCCACATCACACACACCACATACACACATGCAGATAAATGCTGACCATCCATGGGTGGCAAAATAATAACTAATTTTTATTTCATTCTTTATTCTTTTGCATATTTACAAAATTTATTACAATGCAAAAATATTTATTATGATAAAAGGTATTACAATTTATTATCATAACTGCATATTACCTTGGCAATAGCATCCTACCTTCTCAATCATAAATATAGAGGTATACTTTAAATCATCCTGATTCTTCAATGATATCTACCTAATCTAATGTCTACATCTTGAAGTCTTTTTGTGTGTGTGTGTGGTTTATTTTTTATTGGTTGTTCAAAACATTACAAAGCTCTTGACATATCACATTTCATATATTTGATTCAAGTGGGTTATGAACTCCCATTGAAGTCTTTATTACATATTTTCAGGAAAGACACCCTTAAATTTCCTCCAAAATTCACTATGTAGGTTTATGGTTTAACCATTAAGGGCCAGATTAGGCCCTTTTAAGATCTAAACATGTAAGAGACAAAAATCCTTCACAAGTAATTTTTCAAAATGACACCCCAAAAAAATCACATACTAGAATTGAAATAGCCTCTGCTTAAACATTCTACCTACAAATTTTTCAGGTTCAAAATTCTCTTTTCAGTAGTGGAGGCAAGTGGTTCTTAGCTGGTACCATAGGCAAGGCCATATTCTATCCATTGCCTAACTCAGCCATGCACCTAAAGGGCAGTCCACTCTGCTCTCCCACTCAGTACTACAGTAAAGGACTACAGGTTAGGGAAGTGCATTACCAGTATTACATTCTCTCTTTGTATAACTTCCTTACTTCACTAAGTCAAGGTTTCAAAATTAGCAATAACATAATCTATAAACTGCTATCTTCTGTTTTTTTTTAATTCATTTATTGTTCTTTTGTGTCTGAAGCACACAAAACCATCTCTACAAGACCAGATACCAATTAATATATCACTCCTCATTTCTCTCCCTTAAAAAAGCATTTCTCTATTCACAAAGCAAACCTAGATAAAATACTGAATTCAGTGCAATTGAAATAATTTATCCAATCTAGCTACATAAACACATAAACAATGACAATTCAAATTTTCATGAACGTAAACATTTTTAAGACTTGACTTTGATTTAAGAAAGACACTATCAGAAGAGCACTTGGGTGCCCCAAGCAGCAGTTTTGGCCAACACTCAAAATGAAAACAGAGACTGAATCCAGCTGTCTCAAGTAATCAGTTGTCAGCAGCTCAAGATAGATTTGTTTCACTCAGTGTTTAAGTGTTAGCAATTATAAATTCACAAGTGTAGCTAACATCTAAAGTGAAGGAGAGAGTTTTCAATGCTACCCTATAAGCTGAATTGAAAATAACAAGGAAAAAGGAAAAGGAAACTATATTTGTAAACTTAAAGACCACACACACAAAAAGAGAATATATCTCTACCATTATTCTTTCATAATGGCAATAACTAAAGAACTCAGAACCAAAAAGTTTGAGAACTCAAGAGTCTCTGTCCTCCCTGGCCTTTGAATGTAGGCGTTGGTTACATGTCCTATTTAATATGGGATGGATAAGATTACTAATGCCCTAGGTCATTCGAAGTGCTGCCAGTTATCATTTTCATTGTTATCTAGCTATGAAGCATAACTGGCAATTTCTATCTACATTGTGGTTCTAAGAGATCTTCAAGCCATAACTCCAAAAGCAATAATTGCTTCCAATCTAATTCTCTTTCATCACCAAATGTATTTCAAAATATACTTCAAGCTTTTCATTTAATTCAACAAAACTACTTACAGAAATGCACTAGCATACAATGTAAATGCTACTTTATGAATGCATACTTGCATTAGCTCAGCCTTTCACGAATGTTTTTTTATTGTGTTTATCATACTGAATCCATAAAGAGGTTGATTTCATACTTAGGTGAGATCTAGGGTTGTCACCTGGTATGATGTGAAATGTGTGTTAAATGGCTCAATCTTTCAAAATTGATCACCCTGGCATAAGGGTTGGAAATTTCCACCATTTAAAAATTGATGAATCTGAGCACCCTTGGAATATTCTTGGAGGTTACTAAAATTAATGAATAATTCTGATGAATTAGTATTAAACAATAAGCAGCTTTTATAAAAATAATTTCTCATGTGGAATAATGTCAAAATTTTTCTATTTTATTAGATCATGAAACTACAACAGACCATATCTTAAGAGAATTACTGCTATGGTTTAAATGTTTGTGTTCCCTCCAAAAATTCATGTTGAAACTTGATTGCTAATGTAACAGTATTCAGAAGTGGTGCCTCCAGGAGGTAATTAGGCCATGAAGGTTCTGCCCTCATGAATGGAACTGGTACTTTATAAAGGGGCTTGAGGGAGGGAGTTTGCTCTTCCAGGACAGACAGAGGTTATACAGCTGGTTCACAGTTGCTTTTCTTCTGGCCCTGGATGTTGGCATCCTGACTGATCTGGTCTGGTGCTGGTGCATATAGTTGCCAGCTCTATTTTACAGCAGGCTTGATTTGAGCATCCTGCCTATCAATCTCCTATAACTTCTAAATGACAAGAGAACGTCTGGGGTTTGTCACACTGACTCTCAGTTAGTGATCTCCTCCACAGCTTCCATGGGAGATCTCTTCACCCTGCTACTCAGCCTTGAAAATAGCAAGCCAGTCTACAACCACAGATAGTCTCTGGAGCTGGTGCCAGACTTCAAGGAAGCCTAAAAATGTCAGTTATGAAAGGCTCAGCTCTGAAGGAAATTAAGGGGTATCTCTGCCTTCTTCTGACAGTTTAGGCACTCTACTAATTTTCTTCTATCCTCTTCCCAATTCCTATTGAATATACCTATATGTTCCTTCCCTCAGCTCCAAACAAGAAGCTGGCACCAGGGCCTGATTAAATATCTCCAATTCTGAAAAATAGGTTTTTGGAGGGTCCCTAACCTCAGGATAGAATGGGTCAGGCAAGACATTCTTCCCTGTCTGCATGAGTGGTGGTGAAAAGGCACAAAGCACCTACCACTTATGCTCCATAAACTCTTCTCTCTTGCAGAAATTTCTCTCTTCCATCCTGCTTGCCTTAGATGTCACCTTTGGATTTGCTCTATATTATCATCCTCCCCCCCACCAAGGTCTGCATTCCATCTAGATATTACCTTTGTTCTCAAGGATTCTGAGCTGAAAATGATTCTGAAGAAACAGAAAACAAGGGGCTGGGTTTGTGGCTCAGTGGTAGAGAGCTTGCCCAGCACATGTGAGGCACTGGGTTCAGTTCTCTGCACCACATAAAATAAATAAATTAAATAAATAAATGTATGGAAAGTACAATAACATTTTTAAAAGAAATAGAAAACAAGCTGTACATTTTAATGTCTAAAGTTATTGCCACAAGTAGATACCTCATATATGACTTCCTTATCTTATCATTTTCCAGTGATTCTATGAGAAATATTTGTCTCATGTCCCCTGCCAAAGATACCACACTTAAAATCTGAAACCAAAAGCACAAAAATTAATTTGATGCTTAAGTAATAAAGAGCTATGTGAGTCAGAGAGAGTAAACTTCTGATTTTTTTTTGCAACCTAATTTTACAGAGCATACTTGGGAAATGTTTATTGACTCCAGAGGTGAGAGTGGGTTGAGATCAGTGTGAAGAGCATGTTTTGTGTTGATTGCAGAGGCAAATATTTAATGTCAGCCTTAGAAATGTATTCACTGAAGTGAGGCAACTACCCATTATTGATAATTGTCACTAATTAGGTTTACAATCAGTTCTAACCCTAACTCTAACCAAGGTTATATAATTGTCCATTTTTTCCTAAGAGTTTGGAGACTTTTATTTTTCACTCTCAATCTCCCTTTTGATCCTCTTTCAGTCAAAACTTCAGGAAAAATCATCAGAATTGTCTGGATCTTCACCATTCTCTTGGAAATTAACCTTCATTTGAAGAGGCTAAATTTTCAGTTTGAGAGTTCCTCAGCATGATTTTACCTCTATTAATTTTTGAATCATCTTGCAGAAGAATGGTATGTAGAAGCATTTAAGCATCTGGATAATAAACATGACAAGTCTGTGAAGAAAACAAAAATAGTTAAAGTGTTATTAAAAAAAAAGAATCTGGACCATAACCTAAGATTTCCCATATTGGATCAATAAAACATCTCTCAACAACTCCTTCAGTCTATCTTACATATTTAGATTTCTTTTTATTTTTGCTTAAATATAGATTACTCCAACATCATCACTGCTGATATTAATCCAGGTAAAAAATAGTCTTAGCAATGACAAAGATTTTCTCCCAGCTGGTACAAATTCAAGGCTGTTATTCTATCTGTACTAATCTAGGATAATTTAAATGTTTACTCTGGTATATTCTTTTAAAATTTAGGGACAAAATTTGAAACCATCTGGGTTGTCCAGTTTTTAATAATGCAATTACTATCCCCAAAATCTCTTCTACTTGCTGCTATTCCCAGTAAATATTTTGTCCTTTTAGAATTTTTTAAGAAGATATAATAGGGGCTGGGGCTGGGGCTAGGGCTGGGGCTGGGGCTAGGGCTGGGGCTGGGGCTCAGTAGTACAGCACTTGCCTGACACACATAAGGCACTGGGTTGATCCTTAGCACCACATAAAAATAAAATGAAGGCATTATGTCTACCTACAAATATATATATATATATATAATTATCATATACATTTGATATAATATATTGTGAGTATAGAAGAATCATCCAGTGGATATGTTCTAATAGCTACATAGAATGATTAGACAAGTAGCCAAATCCCAGACTGGCATCAAAAAGCCTGATTCCACACAGGGGGGAAAAAACAGTAGCTAATGAGAGACTCATTCAACACAGTAGAACTGTGGTGCTATTTCTTTGAATTTGTTATTACAGTCACTATTATGTCCCAAGAATATCTGTAGCCCTCTCTTCCAACATAAGCACAACAGTTTTCTTGACTTACAATAGTCTAAAAATTAGGTTCATCATTAGGTTAACATAATACATCTTTATATCATTTCTTTAAATTATCTTTACTAGCAATATATTGAGAGAACTAAGTTATGGAGTTATTGTAATAATCATCCCTAACCTCATGCACATTATTATTGTAGTAAGAGAACCATAATAAACTAAGTCAGCGATGTATACCTATAACCAGTAAAGAAGAAATATACCACAGAACTTATCAGATGAATATAATATTAATCATGCAAATTATTGTGCTGCTTCTGCCCTTTGGCAATTTATACCATACTCAACAAGAAAGGGGAAACCATTTGGAATGCTCAAGTTGCTGAGTATCCAAAAGTAAGACGGTGTGAATGACATTCTGAAACTACTACCCGTCCTGTAGCCATAAACTGTATAAACTCAAAATGGTTACCCTTACCTGAGATGTGAACGGAGGAAAGAGATAACCCTACTGGTTGAGAGGCTAAAGCATTCTTCAAAGGCATCTAGTCTTGGCTCCAGACATAGCAAATACCAGGAATTAATGGAATAAGTCAATGAGGTCAGTGAGTACTATGGTTTTTTGTGTTTTGTTTTTTTTTGTTGTTGTTGTTGTTGTTTGTGTGTGTGTGTGTATACATGTGTGTATATGTGTATGTGAGTTGCTGTAATTGTTAAGTAGTTCGAAAGATGTTTATTTTGATTCATAGTTCTGAAGGGGTTATATCTGCTGATGGACTTGCTTGCAGAGCCCTGAGGCAGCATGAGGCACCATACAGCAACAAAGAATGCCAAAGAGATCTAGTCAAACTGGCTTTTATAACATAACCACTCTCAAGACCACATATTCACCCATTAATTCACTAATTGCACAATTAGACTAATCCATTCATGAGAGCAGAGACCTGATCATTGAGTATTTTTAATACATCCTAACAAATAGACTATGGGAACATTTGGCCCTGCCTCAGAAATATCACTCCACTATTTGTATCTGCATGGATCATGTTCATCCACTCCAAACTCCTCTCCACACATGGCATCATTTAAGTAGATTTTTTTAAAATCTTCAAGTAAGCTTTCAAATCATTCTGCTTATTTTTAGTCTAATACATTGACTTATTTTTAGTCTAATACTGCAATGTTTACAGCCTGTGTTTCTAGGTCTCTATGTTCATCTCAGTGACCAAGGAAAGGGAAAGATCTTTAGGTTATAAGTTAAAGAATTTGATGGACAAGAATTTGATGCATAGATTAAATACTTTGAAATACCTTCCCCTAACACACAAACTTCCACAAGGAATGAAGACATTGGGCTTCACTTTCCATTTCCTAATGCCACACTCAATTGCCTCTGTTTGGAAAAAATGACAAAAGACCAAGAAGAGTACAGTTTTTCTCAAGCAGCTCTATGAGACAGCCATTGGGGCAGCTCAACATGACTGTGGGAGAAAATATGGTATCTAGGGGCAAAGCCAGTGACTGCAGACTGAAGATTGGGTCTTGCCATAGGATTAGACAAAATGAATTTGGTTATCAAACTAGGAACTGACATTTGGAGGTTCATCAGTCACAATCCCCTTCAGTTTCCAAAGCATAGCCAAAAAATGTGGGCAGGGCTGAAAAGATGATGTTTTGTAATATTCTTCTTAACTTTTGTGAAGCTGATGTAAATAGCTGTACTCAATAAAACTGAGTTCTTGGTTTATTTAGCAAAAGACACAAAAACTAAGCCAATGCAAGATGATAAAGAAGTAACACAACCACAACCTCTCAGACTTACCAAAGTTCCAAAATTGGGACACAGAGCTCTACGTTGCTCAGTATCCAATATGAGATTAATTTGTTTTCTATAGACTGAATGTTTGTGTCCCTTCCGTATTCCCATGTGGAAGCCTAATTCCCAGTGGGAAGACGTTTGGAGAAAAGGGTCTTTGGGAGTTGATTAGGTTATTAGGATAGAGTCCTATGATAAAAGAAACCCCAGAAAGCTCCTTTGCTCCTTCTACCACATGAGTATACAGTAAGAATACAGGTGTCTAATGTGGGGGGAAAAAAGAACCACTAAACATCATTGATGAAAATAAAAATAAAACAACTATGGAAAAAAAAAGAAATTGTGGTACACACACGGAAACACACAATGGAATTCTTCTCAGCCATAAAAAAAAGAATGAAATTATGGTATTTGCTGGTAAATGGATGGAAATGGAAAATATCATGCTAAATTAAATAAACCAAACTCAGAAACTCAAAGAAAAGAGAGAGAGAGAGAGAATACAGGTGTCTATGAACCAGTAACTTGGCCATCACCATACACTGAATCTGCCAGTGCCTTGATCTTGAACTTCCCAGCCTCTATACAGTTAGAAATTAAGTACTTGTTATTATAAAGACACACAGTTTATGATATTTTATCGTAGAAGGCCAAATGGACTAAAACAGTCCTAATCTAAGGCTAATCAAAATATTACACTCAGGCATTGAAAGTAAGTAGAAAACATTTATGAAAGTGGTAGACCCTTGGAAATGGGAGACCAGGTCATTTTTTGAACTCTATATACATTTTTGGAACTCTTCATAAAGAGATAGTAATAAACCCTTCAGCAAACCTTAGCCCAGAGCAGTAGCAGTACTGACATACTGGGCATCCCTAGGAAAGGCTGGATCACTGGTGCTGTGATAAGCTCTGCCTACCACGAGAAGGACTGGCTTTTACAAAGGGGGAAAGGGTACAGGAGGAGAACTTTCTGGCAAATGTTAAGGTCCATTGGCCCCAGGCCACCAAACAATTTACATCAAACAAAAAGACACTCTTTCTGTCACACTCTTACCTGTGTGTGGTGTGTAATAGATTTCTTTCATCTGAATTGAAAATCTCCCTGAATGGTTCCAGATATGCCTGACCAGCTATCAGCAAATCTGTCTATTACACAGCATACTACTCCTCTCTGACGTGGAGGTGCTGCAGGGTCTTTAGAGACAAAACTCAAAAACCCATAGCAAGCAATAACAAGAGCATGTCTTCACTCCTTATAGATTTTAATATTAACAACCTGCCTTTCTTCTCAAATGTTCTATAAGGTACATTTTTTTCCCCATAACAACCAAAGTTTAAGCCAGGCTGCCAGTTTGCTGAAGTCATGTTTTTTTGTTGTTTTTTTAATTCAGCAAACACTGAGCACCTACTTTTTAAGCCAGGCATTTTTTAGGAAACATCTTTTAAAAACAGCATAAATCTAAAAATCAGATGGTTCTCAGAGCTAAAGCCTTCCAGAATTTTGTTGTTTTGGAGCTGGAAGAGCTGGAGAATGTTAGGAACAGATGGTCTCAAAAAGATATCCAAAACAAGGTGCCCCAAGAATAAGAATGTGATTGCTCTTACTATCTCTTGCCTAAAGCATCTCAGTAAATTCCAAAGTAGTGCCTCTACCTCCTATTCATTGTTTCCTCTCAAGTCTATTCTTCTCATGCTATCACAGTCATCTTTCTAAAAACTTAGTATTTTACTTCTTCTTTTCCAATAATATTATAAAGCATCCCAATTTCTTATTATGGACTCCCAAGTCTTTTCTAATTTGACTCTGACCCATATTTTCAATCTCATCCCCCTTCTCTGCAAAGGCTAAAATATCTCCCCCAAGCTGTAAACTCGAAGTCTGGGAAATGCTATTAATTTTGTTATAACTTCATATTGTCTATAGTAGCTGGGACAGTAATACGGTAACTCATTCCTAGAACAGTCTCGCCAAAACCCCCAAAGAACCATTGGCTGAACTCTGATCCCTTAAATTAGGAAGCATCTTTGTTGTGATGAACAGTGGGATTTTTAAGAAAACTATTTAGAATTTTATTTGTGCTGCAATAAAGGAGGTTTGAGCCAGTATTTTAATAAATAACATAAAATCTCCTGAGAATAAGCAGTGACCAAAAACCCTACCTAAACTACTCCTACTCTGGGTTGTGATATGCATGATTAAAAAATGGACCCCAGTGTCTTGTACAGTCATTGCTCCCTATTTGCTGAGATAGCCATAAATAAAGTTGCAAAATAGGCAGCCTGGCTTAAACTTAGAAGAAAAGGTGAAAATGCTACTTTCCTTTCTAGCA